GTGGGTTCCCTTATGTAAAACGAAGAATCCTCTTCCACTGGAGGAAAGAGTCCTTGATCCCGAGGAAGATGCCTCACTTAGTCGTGAGAAACCATCAGATCCAAGCTGAGGTTCCTAAACACCATCTACAGTGAGCTATAGAAGACACCCTGAGCAATGTCATCTTGATTCTTCACTGTAAGGTCCTCTCTCAAATGGTCGATATGAATTAATTCTTTTTAAAATACCCCTGCCCCCTCCCCCCAGCACAACAATGCATTTTTTTTTTTAAAAAAATTTTTTCTCCTGGCCAGCCAATCCATTCTATTGGGCCAGGTTTCCAGTTTCTCTTAGCTAGAGCTCCTCTCCGGCTGAGAAGTGCCCTGAGAACTGCCTTTGTTGGGTCGTGATTTCAGCTGGTTATTGACGGCAGAATAAAAGTCAGAGGTGAAGCTCTCGGAGCTCGGGAGGAAAAAGGAATGAGAGGCCCTTCGCAGGCTGCAGAGAAGAAAAACAAACCCAGCCCATCGGAGATTTCTTTTTTCATGGAGACGGAAGCAGCTCTCTTCCTTGCAGGGCAGTGCAGTGGCAGAGAAGAAGGATAAATGATTCGAGCACTTGGAAGAATGATCTGAGACCGCTATGAAGCAACAGTGCACTCACCCCAAACTGATTACAAAAATCCACCACTGAACACACGAGGCTGCTTTGTGTTGAATCAGACCATTGGTCCATCCAGTTCAGCATGGTCTACTCAGACTGGCTGCCGTTTCACAAGGTACATATAGGAACTCTCATTATGGGGCAAGGGATGCTCTGTATTCTTGGTGCTGGGGGGGGAACAGTGGGAGGGCTCCTAGTGTCCTGGCCCCACTGCTGGGCCTCCTGATGGCACCTGGTGTTTTTGGCCACTGTGTGACAGAGTGTTGGACTGGATGGGCCATTGGCCTGATCCAATATTGCCTTCTCTCATGTTCTTATGTTCTCCGGGGTCTTTCACATAAGCTGCTACCTGGTCGTTTTTAAACTGGGGATTGAACCGGGGACCTTCTGCATGCCAAGCAGATGCTCTATCAGTCACGGCCCCTCCGCTGGTGTCAAAGTGCCCACCCAGGTGCTAGAAGACAGCAAGGAAGGGGGCGTTGTGACGTCCTCCTTATTGGGGAGGACGGGTTTCCCTTTAAAAGTTCTCTTTATTTTATTTAACAAGGTAGTATCGGCTGCCACCAGGAAATTTTAAGGATTTCCAAACCTTTATGCTTTTACTTTTGCTCTTACTGGTTAGGTAGACCAAGTTCAAGGCTTACGAGGAACTATGTGGTCCTGGGAAGTATTTCTTTCAGAGCTGGTATACTTGAATGAAAGGATTTATTGAAATAAAGCATAAATAAGAGGGTAGTACAATGTAACTAGTAATGTGCAAATACTGAACAATTGCTTTGGTATCCCACACAATCTTCTCTCTCACTGACAGGGATCTTTGCATGTAACTTTGTAACACTTGTTTATCTCAATGCCATATACGTTTACTGTTTCACTCCAGTCTGTTATGACACACAGAATTTCCTATAACGTTTCTTCACTTAAACTTTACTTTACTTTTCCTAGACATTCAGCTTTAGATCTCTTTTCCTTTTTCTCTGAACAACATTAACAGTCAGCTTAACTGCGTCAACACACAACTGCTTGTCTAACTGAACATCAACTGTCAAACTCTAACTGAAACTACTGACTGACTCACATACTCATCCAACCGGATTCACTTCCAAAGCCCCTCCCCCTCTCTGTCAACCACCAATCATACCACACTTGCCTCTTTCAACCACTCTAGTCTATCTACCACAGCCAGGCAACCAAACTTTTAAAGAGACACACACACAGAAACAAGGAATCGTTACAGGCATTTTCAAATGTGCCGAGGAGCAGGACAAGATCCTGCTGAGTCATCGTACTCATGTTCAACACCACTCGTTATCCATCAAGCCGTTTGCTCCAACAGACCGCTGAGTGCCCTTTCCTAGTGAGCAGTCTCCCATCTGTGTAGAGCGTTGCTACAGCTCAGACAGTTAAGGTGCATATGGCAGAACACTGTAAGCCAAATCTAAATTTAAAGGGACAAGAGAGAGAGAAGGAAAGAAACACCTTTTCCCTAAAAATTCCCTACAAAAATTTCCACAACTCATCCACACGATCACCAAAAGCAAGCTGGAATGAAGGCAGCGGCGGAAAAGCAACAAAAACGACGTTACCTCCAGCTCGTACATCGGTGGCCCAAGGATATCTTTCAAGGCGTGGAAGTCAATCGAAATGGGCATTTCCGGTGGCAGGGCCAGGTCAGCTGTCTCGCTGATGGCATCGGGTTTTGCATCTTCCGCAACGTGCTCTTTGCACTCTGAGACGAGAAAGGGGCACCTCAGATCTGCACATGAGAAATACTCCCCCACCCCCGGGCAATTCCTAGACAGAATCTGTATTTTAATGTGCTAAGGGATTTGGGGATGGGCGTGGGGGGAAGGGGTAAACCCTCAGCCAGGGACTAATTCAGTTATTTACAGAGGGACTCTGGCCTGGCACTGGCTGTCCTGTCCTGATCCTGAGGGCTTGATGACTGGATAACATTGTGTTATTTATCACCGTAAACAACAGTCAGCCTTTGGCAGCCTCACTGTGTGAGACTATTAACATCAGGCCTGATACACAGTCTGGGTCCCGCAGGCACCAACTCACACACAGCTTTGCAGAGGAGTCTTCTGCAGGGCAAGAGACAGAGAGAGAGGGGGGGAAAGGCAGCTCCCTTTCAAGGCTATTTTAGGTGCGCCCACCACATTCCCTCTCTATTCTAGAATAAAATTTTAATGTGCGAGGCTCATCATTTTATGGGTAAACGCTAACCACAAAATGTGTGTGTGTGTGTGACCCTGGGCAATCCTCAGGTGAGGGGGAGAAGACTGGCTTTGCAAATCAGTGCACTAAAGTGACTAGTCCTCAAGAATGTTGCTAATTTGGCTGCACAGGATCACTTTTACCATCCGTGGCATGTCAGTGGCAAGGATGGATGGATAGGAGGGAGGGAGGGAAGGAAGGAAGGAAGGATTCTCTCCAGCTTCCCTGCCTGACCATGTAGAGGAGATTCTTACTTGGTAAAGGTGAGTGGCTGTTTACATGCCTTTCATGGGGCCATTGCCAAGTATGAAACTAGACAGAGTGCCCCCAGTATTTTAGCACAACATCTCAGTTGCATCTGTATGTCACAATCAAAACAGAATGTGAACAAGCCTAAAATCCTTGGGTGCTTACACACACCCACACCCCTCCCACTGCGTGGGAGCCCAAGACTTCCACGCTCTGCTGTGAAGTCAGAATTGGGGCCCTGGAAGTCTTTAGTCTCAGGGTGGGGTGGGGCAGGGAGTGTGTGAGCCTGATAAGGTCAGCTGTCTTCACGTCACAAACAAATTGGGGTCACCTGAATGTGATTTCAATCTACAATGAAAAGTCATATTCATTATATTCCACAATGAAAAGTCACTATATCCTGTATTCTAGCTGCAGCTCAGTCTGGATCCACCCCAAGCATGCAGACAGCTGTAAGGAACAGGGTAGGTTTGTACAGGAACCCATTCTGTGTATCTGCTAAGGCCATCTGCCCTATCAGGAAAACGCCTTTCTCTTTGCTTTATACTCTGATAACCCAATTAGCAAAGCCTGTTTTGTAACCTGCCCCCCTTTTCATTCAGCTTGGATGCCTCTCAACCCCCCCCCCCCGATGTATCACCAGATTTGCACTAGGTACACCAAGTTGTGCAATTGTGGCCAGCGTGGCAATTTTCTGCTTCAAAACAATAGGTCCCTTTGGCTCATTGTATTTACAAATATAACGCGGGCTGAATATCGAAGCACCCGATAATCAGATTTGCATGCATTACGCGAAACCCACAGGCTCACGACAGGCAACGAAACAAAGCGGGTCTGCACTAAAAAAAAAAAAAAATCCTTGCCTACCAAGCAGCTGCTCAAGACTGGCATTCTTATCTTGTAAAAAGATGCAATTAGATTTTACAAGTCTCCAGTCAGATCTGCAGAATGGAAAGATTTAGGCTCGGCTCGGGTGTAAATCCAACCCGTAGCTGTGAAAACGAGACTGGGAGGGGCTTCCGGCTCACTTGCAGGACCCCCCCACACACACACTGTGGCACTCATTTTCTGATTTGCAGTAACCCGCAAATTACGGTTTCCATCTGGCCTCACTGACCACGATTGAAAGCTGGGAGCGAACCCTGGTTTGGAAGGCAAACACAAAGCATAGTTTGCCGGTTCCAATACAACAACAAGTCAGAGTAATTAATTGACTTGCGCTGACCTGGATACCCCAGGGTAGCCCGATCTCGGAAGCTAAGCAGGGTGGGCCCCGGTTAATACTTGGAAGGGAGACCCCCCAAGGGAGTCCAGGGTTGAAAGCCAGTTTGGTGTAGTGGTTAAGTGTGCGGACTCTGATCTGGGAGAACCGGGTTTGATTCCCCACTCCTCCACTCGCAGCTGCTGGTGTGACCTTGGGCAAGCCATAGCTCTGTCAGAGCTGTTCTCTCAAGGACAGTTCTGGAAAGAGCTCTCTCTCAGCCCCACCTACCTCACAGGGTGTCTGTTGTGGGGAGGTGGAGGGAAAGGACATTGTAAGCCACTCTGAGACTCTGAGTGAAGGGTGGGGTATAAATCCAATCTCTTCGTCTTCTGGGGAGAGGCAGGCAAGGCCAAACCACCTCTGAACGTCTCTTGCCTTGAAAATCCTACAGGGACACCAGAAGTCAGCTGTGACTTGACGGCACTTTCCACCACCGATTAATTTCCTTGCAGAACACAGGAATTGTGCAAATAAAGACCCAGTGACACAGTACATTTTTCCCCCTCGATGTGATGTCCCTGGGACAGGTCAACAGAGACATGGTTTGGGAGTTCTGCGCTTCCTGATTCAGACCAGGACTATTGTATGCTGGGAAAGGGGGGGCTTGGGCACCCCCACACACACTATTTTCCAGTTTGAATCAGCCTGAAGGAACTGTTACGGAATGATGTGTGCGCGTACGTGCAAAACTATAGTCCTGCAGGATAGCTGAACTAAGGCATTGGTAAGGGGGCGAAAGATAGGAAATACGCGGGGGCGGGATCCTGTGGATCTGTTCTGCCAGAAGAGGCAACTTCCTCTGGCGAAAGGAGCCTTCTCCTAGTGGAAAGAGTCTTCCCCCTAGCACAAGAGGCTCTTTTGTCAGGGGGAGGCATCTTCCGTTAGAGGAAAGAGCCTCTGCCAGTTCAGTCACCTCTGTCAGGTTTCCCTTTTCTCTCTCTGTAACTGGTACTGACAACAGCTCATTGCGTGTCATCACATCTATGACTGCTTCTGCACATGGGCGCAACCCTATGACTGAAACTCGTGATGGGGCAGTAGGGAGGTTTTAGAACAGGAAGCATCTAACAACATAAGAACATAAGAGAAGCCAATGTTAGATCAGGCCAGTGGCCCATCCATTCCAACACTCTGTCACACAGTGGCCAAAAGCACCAGGTGCCATCAGGAGGTCCAGCAATGGGGCTAGTGATTCATTACGTTTGCATTCCTCCCTTTTGTTGGAAATGTGTGTGTTGCAAGGTCTAAAATTCAGTCATTATAGGGTTAACGTGCTTTACCTTGAGTGCTATTGTTTAGACTGACCTGGAAGGAAACCTGGCACAGAGCCAAAGGAAAGAAAGCCCACGAAACTGAACTCTGTTTACTCACAATCATTGGTCAATGTATTCAGGTGATTTCTTTCTAGGGGTCAAGAAGAAGAAGAATCTCCATTATTGTTGTTGCTGCTGCTGTTGTGAGACCCTATGGTCGGTCTGTTCTGTAGCTGTAGAGATGTAGCCTTAGGTCTTTGTTATTTTGTAGATTTCCCTGTGTACCCTTCGCTTAGAAATAAAGATTCTGACCCAGAAAGAAATTCCTCCTCTCCAGTGAAACAAAGATCCATTGCAAACTCTGAATATCTAAGTATTTTTGCCAATTTTTCCAACTCCTTTTCCCTAAAAGGGACCTCATAGGGCTCCCTGGAAGTCCCCCGTCAAGGTACTGACTAGCATCCGGCCTGCTTAGCTTCCGGTGGAACTCTCAAGATGATTTCGGACCATCCGCCAAGCTGTTTGGGAACAGGAAAGGCAGCGGGTGGCAGAGATCTGGGACCTCGTCCAAGCGCTACATTTTTGCTCAGATTCCTTTCACCGTGTTAAATATAGTACGGCTTTTATTCACAGCTGCCCTCGTCCGTGTCACCTGGAGATTTGCTCTCCTCGGATATTGGTTAATATTTCTGCAGAGAAACTGGCTGACCTCTGCGCCGCCTGGAAACAGCAAATGCAAGCACGGGTGAAGGGGAGCTCCTCTTTGTGAAGGGCCCAGGTGTTTTACAGCCTTGTGCTGGCGGAGCCAGTAAATACATTTAATGAAAACACGGGGAGACCTGAAGGTTTTATGGCCCACGCACGAACTCCAACTGCTCCGGCTGAAGCGGACCCGAGCTTGGCCGCACTTTCAAAGCCCGTCCATAAGGCAGCATGGTGTGCCTTGCGCCAAGCAGATTTGCTTGGAATGAAGAGTCCCACTTTTCAGTTTTCCTTTAAGATTAATTGGGAGGAAAAGCCAACGGCAGCGAATGCTGCCAGATCCGCACAGGAAACGATGCATTTCTTCATCAGGGCGAAGCTCGAAATCCCATTCCTATTAATCTTGCAGTTCTGCGGCTAGCCTTTGATATCAGGGGGCCGATGCTTTGCTTCTGGGCTTGGCGATTCCGAGGCCTACGTTCTTCTGAGGCCACTATGACACCTTCTGTTATTTTGGAATAACAGCCCTTGAACCCCCACTTCAACCGGGGGGGGGGGCTGAAAGAGATCAAACAGTCCCTGACAAGAGGAGGGGTTGCAAAGTATCTTTGCATGCTGGGACCAAGGAGGAAGCCCAGGTTCAAAGCTTGATCCTCACCATGCAGACAGGCACTGAAACACCTGTTGTGACTTCCTGCCTTTTGTTTTTGGCCTCAGGCCAAAGGGTTTCCCTCCCATCCCCACCGCAGCATTTTGCTGATTGGTTGTTTCCTCTGCCCTTCCTTTTGACGACTTTATGCTATCTGCTATTAGCATTTCATAGAATCAGAGAATCGCAGAGTTGGCAGGGGGCCACGCAGGCCATCTAGTCCAGCCCCCTGCTCAATGCAGGATCAGCCTAGAGCCTCCCTGACAAGTGTTTGTCCAGCCGCTGCTTGAAGACTGCCAGCGAGGGGGAGCAGAATGTCCCCATGTAGCCAGTGACCAAATGTTTTTCATTACATCACAGTATCATCTGACAGCAAGAATGATTACGGACTT